GTAATCGAGTCAGGAACTTTATCTTTCTTAATGACTGACAGTCACGTGAACGAGAACTTGGGTGAAGGCTTATACATCTCAAACCCACTCGACTCTACTATAAATATCTCCAACACAGAGTTTCTTCGCAACAGCGGAGGCCAAGGAGTTTATTTCAAGGACTTCCGTGAAGATTGCCAGATTCTTCTTTCAGACATAACTTCACTTGGAAACTCACAGAACGGTGCTTTGTTTGAAAGAGTAAGAACCAAGAGTATGAACGTAACATCCTCCTCGTTTGACGGAAATACGTTACATGGCGTACATGTTAAAGAGGTTTTCACGGGTAGCGTTAATTTGCAGGAAATTTCCACATCTTACAATTTGAAAACAGGCCTGGTTTTCTACCAAGGAGTCAGCAGCATGAACATAGAATCGTGGTCTTCCATTGGTAACCAAATTGATGGCTTTTCCTTAGAGAACCAAGAAGGACAACTGACTTTAAAGGACTGTTATGTTTATGGTAACAAACGGAACGGACTGTGGCTTGTGGATTCTTTTGACGCTCGTCTTCAGTCTGCCCATCTTCAGAACTGCAGTGTTTTGAAAAGCAATCGTTATGGGGTCTTATTTGGTCTGATGTATGGATTTCGACAAGGTGTCGAGGACTATGCTGTTACAGTGGCCAATTCTACAATTGCCAATAACGAGCTCGGTGGTTGCTGGTTTTATCCTTCCGGCTGCAGATGGTACTCTAGTTATCCACGTCACAGAAGCGTTCAACTTTCATTTACCGGAAACACGGTCGAGGGAAACCAGAAATTCGGTATTTACATCTATGGTCCAGAATGGTACGAGCTAAGTGCTGTCTTAGCAAATAACGAGATCAAGAACAATAGTGGTTATGCACTGAAGGTGGCTTACTATGACAATTACTGTTCCGACGATTATTCCTTTCCTGCCCATGTGAGAGTTCTATCCAGTACCTTCCTCAAGAATATAGGAGAATATACTGTTTTCGTTGACTACAATGCTTTTCCCACAAAGCGGTACATCGTCTTCAACAATAACTCATTCATCGAGAACCGAGCCATCCAGTCATTCTCCAGCAGCTATGTTCGTACTAAAACACAAGCAGTTTTAGCCGTAAAAGAAGGGACAATCACCGTGGAGCATAATTCGTTTGTCAATCCTTTGTTTCCTCACGAAATGGCAACTCTCCTTAGAGATCACGAACGAGTCATTCAGGCTAGGGAAAACTGGTGGGGCTCAAGGGACGAATGCAAAGTAAAAGAAAGGATTTTTCACTTCGGCGATCGAATCGAACTAGCACAGATTCAGTACTACCCATTTCTGGATTCCGTTCATTCTAACACAGTTAAGGTCCACAATGGTACCCGTCGTCTCTGTTTCGTTCAAGGAAATAAGTTAGGTGGAACACTGAACCAAACAGTCACCTTACCAAAAGACAGTGACACTTACCAAGTAGTCGGGGATGTCATAGTTCTACCTAATGGCGTCCTTACCGTTGAAGAAAACGTCACATTGGGATTTCCATTGCAAGCCGTTTTCATTGTTTTTGGTCAGGTTGTCATCAAAGGTACAGAGAGCAAGAGGGTAAAGCTTGTGCCTAAGAAACCTTTGCAAAAGGAAATAAGACTCGTTGGCAGTCCTGACCCATGGGATGGAGTACTTGAAATATGGTTCAATAACAGATGGATGCCGGTGTGCCTAACAAGATATCACTATGTGTCTACTATAGTATGCAGGCAGTTAGGATATGAAGCACTAAGTTACGTTTATCGTAACTCAAATGGAAACGAGACCTTTCTCCATAATGTTCGATGTGACACAGATGAAAGTGACAGTATTATACATTGCAACAGGAACAACTGGGTCGCTTCATCATCATGCTCCAGCTATGTCGGGTATATTCGTTGCAAAACTCCTTATTGGAGCGGTGTTCACTTGACGATAACACCAAAGAAAAGTGACATCAGAAATGTTGACATAGACTACGCAGGCTTCGCCTACAGAGACGACCTCAGCATTCCTGGTATTGCTTTAAGGGTGGACGTCAATCAGAACAACATCAACGGCGTCTTGGTGAATAATTCTGCCAGCAGGGGCTTGCAAATGATGTATCCAGATCCCTTTGATGTCACTCCTGACATCATAAACTCGACAATAACCAACACTGAGGGGTCTGGAGTACTTCTGGAATCTCCCTTTCTGAATCTCACAGCTACTAATGTTGTAAACACCAAAGGCTACGGGTTTACGTATTATTATAGCTGGAAGCCCCTTAACGACCATGTGTTCAAAATAGCGGACATGAGTGTGAAGAAGAACATCAACGTGTGCTCTGGAAATGATACTTTTATCGATGATTTTAGCGTAGTGTATTACCTGGTTGTGAGAACAAAAAGCCGCCGTGCCTGTAAGAAGGTGATCACAGTTCCAAAGGATTATAGCGTTGGAATGCAATTAATCCATCATGATGTGCGATCGTCGTCAGTTTTTCACGTCTACAGTGGAACAAGCAAGACATTAAGGGCTTTTTGGGATGTTCACTCACTAAGCTGGAGAACCCGTCCTGCCTGGAAAACAAACTCAAGCTCAGTCCTTTTAGAAAGCTCAGATTTTTACTACGATTACTTTAGCACGGTGCACTTTGTACTGTTTCTTATCAAAGGTAAGTAAGCTTTTCTTTGCAGGCTTCTGTTAAATAGTTTTTACAACAAACAACACATATTGAACGAGAAATAAACGATACATCTTACCCACTTCATTCATGGACTCACAGAAGGACAATGTATACTGGTGCATACTTACAACTGTATTGAAGATTAAAGAAATATATTTTTGCTTCGGGCATCTAAGTGGGTATTCCCTTAAGGGAATTGTTAGGGGAAAATGATCCACACTATGCGGACATAAAGAGTCATTACTCTTACTCTGCTGCGTTTTCCTGTTCAGAGATCATTTGTCAATCAAATTTGCCGTAGAACAACATGGAATGATCTCTAAGACATATTCAACTATCAAGTGATCAAAATCGGTGAAAATCGCACGTGTCTTGTGTTATAACAATCTCCAAATTTTGTGACTTTTACAAATACATAAGCAGAGACAGTACAGTAACATACCCTAAAGACACTCTAACTGATGTGGTTAGTTGGTCTGATTAATCGAAGCCTATAAATTTTAATAATGGGACTTTTTCGCTACAGTTTTCCGATGTCACATGCTAAGTCAACTGCCCTTACAATTTTAAATAAAATTGATCACGCCATGAAATTGTGGCAAATTGCATGCTTGTGTTTTGTTTTAACAACTGTTTCTTTTTTGATAGAACCAGACAGAGCAAAGCAGTGGTTGACATCGCCGAACCTGATCATTTCGAAATGCAATTTTATCAGCAACGTTTATGGCGGGATCTATTTAGGTGGTGAACACTCAGGAAACGTTCAGATCCAAAGCTCAGTTGTACAAGACTCACCCGCTAACGGTGTCACAACGGCTTTTTTACATGTTGAAAACCTTAACCTGTTTAACTGTTCCTTTATTGGAAATCAGGTTGGGATTAGACTTTCTTCGTTTTCGGGCAACGTTAATATTGAAAACACCGACGTTTCAAACTCGACTTCCAATGCCCTTTACATAGTTTCGGATGGTCAGAAAATGGTCCATTTCCTAAACAGTAGCGTCATTCACAGCGAGGGATTTGGAATTTATCTGAAAGGTAATTACGAAGACGCAAGTCTTTTTGCAATCAATAGCTTTTTTGGGTGGAACAAAGCTACCTCAGTTTACTCAGACATTCGTTACGCCCGATACACTCCTGATGGATCACAGGCATCCTTTAAAAACTGTACATTTTTAATGAATCAGGGCCCTGTAGTAAACATCGATGAATCCCCGAAGTTTTATCCATGGGAATTTGAAGGTAACATTTTCATGAACAACACACAGAATTCCGTTATCATGACGACTAGATATACAGATGATCGATTTTCGCCTGGACTCTTAGTTCGACGAAATAAGTTCTTATTTAACTTTTTCCAAGAGAAAGGAGTCATTTATGTTAGAGGAGGCACAAAGGAGTTGATCATTGATGGAAACGTATTCGAAGGAAACTACGGACGGTCTGTGTTTGTGGAAGAACAGTCTTTTTTTCGAGCTCCTGCCGCAATTCAATATAACGTTTTCAAGGATAATAGCGACGCGAACGGAAGCGTTTTAGAGATCAGAAGAATGGAAAACGACGTCATAATTCTTAACAATGTCTTTAAGTTTAACGAAGGACTAAATGTGGTTCTCCTCCATAACGAGTATTTTGTAGGTGCCAAAAAACATATCACTTTCATGAACAATTCACTTCTAAACAACTCAAACACTTGGTCTTCTGGTTGTGAAGTTGAGATCTCAGGAATGAAGGAATATAAAGTAATTTCAATACGCCACAATAGATTTAACAGCCAAAGCTTTCCAAAGGAACTTTGCGTAAACATCACTGCAGACTCACACACCAGCATTGTGAATGTGTCCTTAAACTTCTGGGGTTATGACAACGAGAATCAAATTAAGGAGAGAATCTATGATGCTGAGGACAATTACGAAAGGGCCTTGGCTGTTTTTATTCCATTCTTTGGCAGCATGGGAGAATTAATGCAAGGGTCAAACCAAAGCGATGGCCGCGAAACATTTGCAACTCGATATTTGGGTGGACGTATTTCATCTAGCCTTAACCTGTGGAGTAAATTCAGCCCTTATATAGTAATTTCCGATGTTACTGTTTTGCCGGACGCTGAACTAAAAATTCACCCAGGTGTCGAATTACAGTTTGGCTCAGGTGTTGGTATGTTGATTCTTGGTGCTCTCTTTGTGCTGGGAAATAGGGAGAATCCTGTAACATTTTCTCTGCTGAAGAGAAGTCAAACGAAAATATCGATTCCTGTTCGTTTAGTGGAAGGCACATTCCCGTGGCAAGGACGTTTAGAAGTATTGCATAATGGTAATTGGACCCCAGTGTGTGTAAACGAAACCATGACATTTGGAAGGAAGAACGCTAAAGTGATATGTGGAAAACTCGGCTATCAAGCGCCTGCGTTAATCATTTATGTCGTTCATTCATCTTCACTTGGTGCAATTTTGAATTGCCGTGGTAATGAAACAGAGATTAACGAATGTCTGTTATCTTTCCATAATGTCAGTGGCAATTCGACTCGACAAGTTGCCTTACACTGCAAAGGAGGGACGCCCTGGGGAAATTTAAGATTTCTTCGCGTATTTCGGAATACTTCTTACCCAATGACATCACGTCTACAGCATTTAAAAATCGAGCACTGTGGTGAAAAACATGGCAAGAAGGTTGCTGCTATTGAAATGATTCAGAACGTTCCCGAAATGAATCACGTGTCTATTTCAAATTGCACAGCAGGTGGTATCAAAGTTTTGTTTCCAGAAAGAGAAGTGTACCTGAGAGACATGTTCTTGGTCAATACTGGAGGTTATGGAGGTGACATTTTGATACCAAAACGGAATTTCACCATTGAGAAAGTAACGTCGATGAACAACACACATGGGTTGAGTTTTCATGAGTTGGATGGTCATTGGATTGAAGGTGTTTCCTACGGACAAGTTTTGTTGTGCGATCCAGCAACAAATGTCACTATTAGGGATCGTGATTTATTCCTATACGTTTTTCCACCATTGATGAGGTTCTTAAACCTAGGGTTGCACTGCCATATGGAGGTTAAAACGGACAGAGATGCAGGTTTCGCTCTTCAGCTGCTGGTAATGAAGAATCTTAGGTCTGTGACGATAGAAAACCCTTCTGGAAAGAACATCTTGAAGTTTTCCTCTACAGATATAGGACCGCTCTCAAGACGCCGACTGGTTCCGTGGAATGCTCTCACAGTTTATTTCGAGGGATGGTATTCCAGCGAAATGCTTTTACAAGTACAACGAGTTAAATTAAAAGGTTAGTATACCTTTTGTTATGTTAGCAATTGCATAGTTTAAAAAGCAGCTACGATGGTTCATTTATTTCCTCAGTAACATAATCAGTGAACAATTGCCTGTAATCTTTCCTATTATCTCTGATTATGACTTAAAGCAGTAAACAATTCCTAGCTTAACTGTTAATTGTGCAATGCAATACGTAACTTCCGTAGTCCGTGGTTTTAAGATCTTTTCCTAAACTCCTTTGATTTTTTTTTTAAATTTCACTTTGTCAGATATGCCTTGTACATTTGAGCGAGGTAGTTGTGGATGGAGACAATATCCTGGAAATTATTTTAGAAGCGTCAGCCTGACATTCCAATGGAGATGGCATGACGACTATGATAAGCCTACCGCTATTCCTGACCATACTTTTTCGTACGATGGTAATACAGGTAAGTCGTGTATGATACTGTAAATGTTATTTCATCCGATCTGTAAGGCTAATCGCACATGCAAGCTTGTAAATCATGAAGAACGCTTGTCCTGAGAATCACCTGCAGTAAAAGGCCGCAGTTTTAGATGTTTGTGCTGAGTACAATATTACAATACAATACAATGTAATGCAATGCAATGCAATGCAATGCAATGCAATGCAATACAATACAACATCATTTTATTGTGTAACACAATTAGCTATATGTGAGGTGGGATATCACTTTGCTTCTGTCCCCGTAGGCGCTTAACCCTGTGCTTGTGTTTATGACTCCAGGAAAAAAATACTATTTTAATCCGANAATGGCAACTCTCCTTAGAGATCACGAACGAGTCATTCAGGCTAGGGAAAACTGGTGGGGCTCAAGGGACGAATGCAAAGTAAAAGAAAGGATTTTTCACTTCGGCGATCGAATCGAACTAGCACAGATTCAGTACTACCCATTTCTGGATTCCGTTCATTCTAACACAGTTAAGGTCCACAATGGTACCCGTCGTCTCTGTTTCGTTCAAGGAAATAAGTTAGGTGGAACACTGAACCAAACAGTCACCTTACCAAAAGACAGTGACACTTACCAAGTAGTCGGGGATGTCATAGTTCTACCTAATGGCGTCCTTACCGTTGAAGAAAACGTCACATTGGGATTTCCATTGCAAGCCGTTTTCATTGTTTTTGGTCAGGTTGTCATCAAAGGTACAGAGAGCAAGAGGGTAAAGCTTGTGCCTAAGAAACCTTTGCAAAAGGAAATAAGACTCGTTGGCAGTCCTGACCCATGGGATGGAGTACTTGAAATATGGTTCAATAACAGATGGATGCCGGTGTGCCTAACAAGATATCACTATGTGTCTACTATAGTATGCAGGCAGTTAGGATATGAAGCACTAAGTTACGTTTATCGTAACTCAAATGGAAACGAGACCTTTCTCCATAATGTTCGATGTGACACAGATGAAAGTGACAGTATTATACATTGCAACAGGAACAACTGGGTCGCTTCATCATCATGCTCCAGCTATGTCGGGTATATTCGTTGCAAAACTCCTTATTGGAGCGGTGTTCACTTGACGATAACACCAAAGAAAAGTGACATCAGAAATGTTGACATAGACTACGCAGGCTTCGCCTACAGAGACGACCTCAGCATTCCTGGTATTGCTTTAAGGGTGGACGTCAATCAGAACAACATCAACGGCGTCTTGGTGAATAATTCTGCCAGCAGGGGCTTGCAAATGATGTATCCAGATCCCTTTGATGTCACTCCTGACATCATAAACTCGACAATAACCAACACTGAGGGGTCTGGAGTACTTCTGGAATCTCCCTTTCTGAATCTCACAGCTACTAATGTTGTAAACACCAAAGGCTACGGGTTTACGTATTATTATAGCTGGAAGCCCCTTAACGACCATGTGTTCAAAATAGCGGACATGAGTGTGAAGAAGAACATCAACGTGTGCTCTGGAAATGATACTTTTATCGATGATTTTAGCGTAGTGTATTACCTGGTTGTGAGAACAAAAAGCCGCCGTGCCTGTAAGAAGGTGATCACAGTTCCAAAGGATTATAGCGTTGGAATGCAATTAATCCATCATGATGTGCGATCGTCGTCAGTTTTTCACGTCTACAGTGGAACAAGCAAGACATTAAGGGCTTTTTGGGATGTTCACTCACTAAGCTGGAGAACCCGTCCTGCCTGGAAAACAAACTCAAGCTCAGTCCTTTTAGAAAGCTCAGATTTTTACTACGATTACTTTAGCACGGTGCACTTTGTACTGTTTCTTATCAAAGGTAAGTAAGCTTTTCTTTGCAGGCTTCTGTTAAATAGTTTTTACAACAAACAACACATATTGAACGAGAAATAAACGATACATCTTACCCACTTCATTCATGGACTCACAGAAGGACAATGTATACTGGTGCATACTTACAACTGTATTGAAGATTAAAGAAATATATTTTTGCTTCGGGCATCTAAGTGGGTATTCCCTTAAGGGAATTGTTAGGGGAAAATGATCCACACTATGCGGACATAAAGAGTCATTACTCTTACTCTGCTGCGTTTTCCTGTTCAGAGATCATTTGTCAATCAAATTTGCCGTAGAACAACATGGAATGATCTCTAAGACATATTCAACTATCAAGTGATCAAAATCGGTGAAAATCGCACGTGTCTTGTGTTATAACAATCTCCAAATTTTGTGACTTTTACAAATACATAAGCAGAGACAGTACAGTAACATACCCTAAAGACACTCTAACTGATGTGGTTAGTTGGTCTGATTAATCGAAGCCTATAAATTTTAATAATGGGACTTTTTCGCTACAGTTTTCCGATGTCACATGCTAAGTCAACTGCCCTTACAATTTTAAATAAAATTGATCACGCCATGAAATTGTGGCAAATTGCATGCTTGTGTTTTGTTTTAACAACTGTTTCTTTTTTGATAGAACCAGACAGAGCAAAGCAGTGGTTGACATCGCCGAACCTGATCATTTCGAAATGCAATTTTATCAGCAACGTTTATGGCGGGATCTATTTAGGTGGTGAACACTCAGGAAACGTTCAGATCCAAAGCTCAGTTGTACAAGACTCACCCGCTAACGGTGTCACAACGGCTTTTTTACATGTTGAAAACCTTAACCTGTTTAACTGTTCCTTTATTGGAAATCAGGTTGGGATTAGACTTTCTTCGTTTTCGGGCAACGTTAATATTGAAAACACCGACGTTTCAAACTCGACTTCCAATGCCCTTTACATAGTTTCGGATGGTCAGAAAATGGTCCATTTCCTAAACAGTAGCGTCATTCACAGCGAGGGATTTGGAATTTATCTGAAAGGTAATTACGAAGACGCAAGTCTTTTTGCAATCAATAGCTTTTTTGGGTGGAACAAAGCTACCTCAGTTTACTCAGACATTCGTTACGCCCGATACACTCCTGATGGATCACAGGCATCCTTTAAAAACTGTACATTTTTAATGAATCAGGGCCCTGTAGTAAACATCGATGAATCCCCGAAGTTTTATCCATGGGAATTTGAAGGTAACATTTTCATGAACAACACACAGAATTCCGTTATCATGACGACTAGATATACAGATGATCGTTTTTCGCCTGGACTCTTCGTTCGACGAAATAAGTTCTTATTTAACTTTTTCCAAGAGAAAGGAGTCATTTATGTTAGAGGAGGCACAAAGGAGTTGATCATTGATGGAAACGTATTCGAAGGAAACTACGGACGGTCTGTGTTTGTGGAAGAACAGTCTTTTTTTCGAGCTCCTGCCGCAATTCAATATAACGTTTTCAAGGATAATAGCGACGCGAACGGAAGCGTTTTAGAGATCAGAAGAATGGAAAACGACGTCATAATTCTTAACAATGTCTTTAAGTTTAACGAAGGACTAAATGTGGTTCTCCTCCATAACGAGTATTTTGTAGGTGCCAAAAAACATATCACTTTCATGAACAATTCACTTCTAAACAACTCAAACACTTGGTCTTCTGGTTGTGAAGTTGAGATCTCAGGAATGAAGGAATATAAAGTAATTTCAATACGCCACAATAGATTTAACAGCCAAAGCTTTCCAAAGGAACTTTGCGTAAATATCAGTGCAAACTCACACACCAGCATTGTGAATGTGTCCTTAAACTTCTGGGGTTATGACAACGAGAATCAAATTAAGGAGAGAATCTATGATGCTGAGGACAATTACGAAAGGGCCTTGGCTGTTTTTATTCCATTCTTTGGCAGCATGGGAGAATTAATGCAAGGGTCAAACCAAAGCGATGGCCGCGAAACATTTGCAACTCGATATTTGGGTGGACGTATTTCATCTAGCCTTAACCTGTGGAGTAAATTCAGCCCTTATATAGTAATTTCCGATGTTACTGTTTTGCCGGACGCTGAACTAAAAATTCACCCAGGTGTCGAATTACAGTTTGGCTCAGGTGTTGGTATGTTGATTCTTGGTGCTCTCTTTGTGCTGGGAAATAGGGAGAATCCTGTAACATTTTCTCTGCTGAAGAGAAGTCAAACGAAAATATCGATTCCTGTTCGTTTAGTGGAAGGCACATTCCCGTGGCAAGGACGTTTAGAAGTATTGCATAATGGTAATTGGACCCCAGTGTGTGTAAACGAAACCATGACATTTGGAAGGAAGAACGCTAAAGTGATATGTGGAAAACTCGGCTATCAAGCGCCTGCGTTAATCATTTATGTCGTTCATTCATCTTCACTTGGTGCAATTTTGAATTGCCGTGGTAATGAAACAGAGATTAACGAATGTCTGTTATCTTTCCATAATGTCAGTGGCAATTCGACTCGACAAGTTGCCTTACACTGCAAAGGAGGGACGCCTTGGGGAAATTTAAGATTTCTTCGCGTATTTCGGAATACTTCTTACCCAATGACATCACGTCTGCAGCATTTAAAAATCGAGCACTGTGGTGAAAAACATGGCAAGAAGGTTGCTGCTATTGAAATGATTCAGAACGTTCCCGAAATGAATCGCGTGTCTATTTCAAATTGCACAGCAGGTGGTATCAAAGTTTTGTTTCCAGAAAGAGAAGTGTACCTGAGAGACATGTTCTTGGTCAATACTGGAGGTTATGGAGGTGACATTTTGATACCAAAACGGAATTTTACCATTGAGAAAGTAACGTTGATGAACAACACACATGGGTTGAGTTTTCATGAGTTGGATGGTCATTGGATTGAAGGTGTTTCCTACGGACAAGTTTTGTTGTGCGATCCAGCAACAAATGTCACTATTAGGGATCGTGATTTATTCCTATACGTTTTTCCACCATTGATGAGGTTCTTAAACCTAGGGTTGCACTGCCATATGGAGGTTAAAACGGACAGAGATGCAGGTTTCGCTCTTCAGCTGCTGGTAATGAAGAATCTTAGGTCTGTGACGATAGAAAACCCTTCTGGAAAGAACATCTTGAAGTTTTCCTCTACAGATATAGGACCGCTCTCAAGACGCCGACTGGTTCCGTGGAATGCTCTCACAGTTTATTTCGAGGGATGGTATTCCAGCGAAATGCTTTTACAAGTACAACGAGTTAAATTAAAAGGTTAGTATACCTTTTGTTATGTTAGCAATTGCATAGTTTAAAAAGCAGCTACGATGGTTCATTTATTTCCTCAGTAACATAATCAGTGAACAATTGCCTGTAATCTTTCCTNTTTGTTTCCAGAAAGAGAAGTGTACCTGAGAGACATGTTCTTGGTCAATACTGGAGGTTATGGAGGTGACGTTTTGATACCAAAACGGAATTTCACCATTGAGAAAGTAACGTCGATGAACAACACACATGGGTTGAGTTTTCATGAGTTGGATGGTCATTGGATTGAAGGTGTTTCCTACGGACAAGTTTTGTTGTGCGATCCAGCAACAAATGTCACTATTAGGGAACGTGATTTACTCCTATACGTTTTTCCACCATTGATGAGGTTCTTAAACATAGGGTTGCGCTGCCATATGGAGGTTAAAACGGACAGAGATGCAGGTTTCGCTCTTCAGTTGCTGGTAATGAAGAATGTTAGGTCTATCATGATATACAACCCTTATAGAAAGACCATCTTGAAGTTTTCCTCTAGAGATATAGGACCGCTGTCAAGACGCCGACTGATTCCGTGGAATGCTATCACAGTTTATTTCGAGGGATGGCATTCTAGCGAAGTGCTTTTACAAGTACAACGAGTTGAAATAGGAGGTTGGTATACCGTTTGCTGTGTTAGCAATTGCGTAGCTTAAAAAGCCAATTTTTCCATGATGGTAAATCACCATTACATTAATCAATACAACCGGAGATAGCAGCTAAGATGGTTCATTTATTTCCTCAGCAACATAATCAGTGAACAACTGCGTGTAATCTTTCCTATTATCGCTGATTATGACTTGAAGCAGTAAGCAATTCATAGCTTAACTGTTAATTGTACAATGCAATATGTAACTTCTGTAGTCCTTGGTTTAAAGATCATTCCCTAAACTGCTTTGATTTTTTTTGTCTCACTTTATCAGATATGCCTTGCACATTTGAGCGAGGTAATTGTGGATGGAGACAATATCCTGGACATTATTTTAGAAGCGTCAGGCTAACGTGGCAGTGGAGATGGTATGGCGACTATTATAAGCCTACCGCTATTCCGGACCATACTTATTCGTACAGTGGTAGTACAGGTAAGTCGTGTATGATACCGTAAATGTTACTTCATCAGATCTGTAAGCCTAACCACACATGCAACCTTCAGTTGTAAATCATGAAGAGCGCTTTTCTGAGAATCACCTGCAGTATAGGCCGCAGTTTTGGATGTTCACGCTGAGTACAACAATACAATACAATACAATACAATACAATACAATACAACGCAATGCAATGCAATGCAATGCAATACAATACAATATAATCAAGTTTCCATATAACGCGCTCTCTGATTGGCTGAAAGAGCGTGCTTTATCAGAGAACAGAGCACGGGTTGATGACAGTAGGTTGGCTTTCAAATTTTTGCTTCGGAATTTTGACATATTTGCCCCACATTAAACATCCCCTGTGATTCAGACAAACGTTATGGAAACGAGCTTTTTGTCTGTAGTAAGTATGGCTCACAGAGACCATTGTTAGCAACAGTAGTGTTAAAACTGTACCAAAATAACAAGTTTTGTTAGATTCCCGCCGACAAAACACGTAGCGAAAGAAACAAATTCTCAACCTAAACAGTGCTTCGATAAAAGACATTATATTTGTTACGAAGGCAGCTATACTTATACTTATATACTTAAGAAGTAAAACAACGACAGAAAACAACAATTGAACTGTCTCTGTTTATGATAAGAAGCTTTATTTTTGTAAAAATACTCAATTGCTCAAACAACACTTACATGCAGTGTAGTAACGCTCGTTCTCCGGTAATTTCAGCGAAGTGAAGCGACGAGTGGTCAGTGCAAAGCTTGCTCTGATATCCTCTTTTGTGCTCGGAGTAGAACCAGTGGGAGCCGTTTAGTCTTTCTAACTTTTACGCTAGTTCAGGCAATCTTGCTGCATGCGGCTACAAGCCGTAAATAACTGTGGCTCCTTTCAAATTTAACTCGGCATTCCGCATTTTCATCCGCAAGCTTCGAGCTCCGCGTTTCGTAATTTCCACTGGAAAAGTGCACGTTTTCATAGGCCACAATACGACCGGATTCCTCTGGACTATAAAACTTCACCCGCCTTAAGATCCGCATTAAAAAATTAACTTAAAAGCGAACTTTGAAGGCATCGTTCTTCTCTCGAAAGCCGCTCAAACTACTCGAAACTAAAAGATCAGCTGAAGTCCAGTTTGTGATTGACAGCTGTCGCTTCCATAGCCAATCAAATTATTTGAACAATTCTAACAAGGATAGTGATTGGCTTATTTTAGCGTGCTTTATTAGAGAACAGTGCACGGCTTACGCCACTTGCTCGTTTGTAAAATAAAGTTTGGTTTGAAAATTCAGCCAAACGCGTGGGGAAATTATCGGATTCTTTATCATAAAACAAAGAAGCCTCGACTGTGCTCTGTTCTGTTGTAAAGCACTTAGGAAGCGGTGGAGCACTCAAGAAGTAGGGAAAAACACTCGGCTGCGTCTCGTGTTTTTCCCCACACTTCTTTCGTGCTCTTCCGCTACCTGCGTGCTTTACAACGGAACAGAGCACAGTCGAGGCTTCTTTATTTGTTAAATACAATACAATACAATACAATACAGTACAATGCAATGCAATGCAATACAATGCAATACAATGCAATACAATATAATACAATGCAATGCAATGCAATACAATATAATTTTATTATGTAACAACTTAGCTATATTTGAGGTGTGATATCACAAGAAAGATAAAATCACAGATCAGCTAATTTGATGGTATTCCGCATTGACATAGGAAGAGTGAGTGTTCTTGGCTTCTGTCCCCGTGGATGCTTAACCCTGTGCTCGTGTTTATGACTCCAGTAAAAAAAAGTTATTTTAATGCGACTGAGTCCAGTTCAATAAAAATATCTTAAAAGACCATGAATTCCAAGCGGAAGAATAACATAGTAAGATGTAGATGAGATATGTAAGGATATACGGGAGAAACGAGTTCACCTTCGCTTGTTTAGATTAGAGCTACATATACAATTGTTAAGTGAGGATGCTCGTATGAAATGCTAACTGTCATACGTTCTTTTTTTATCTCTTTTTTTGTACATGGCATTTTGCCTCAGGAAATTATATTTGGCTAGGACGCCGCTGGTATTCGGGATATGGCGCCTTTTCCAGCCCGCCCATTTTCAAGGAAAGCGACTACTGCTCCTTAGAGTTCTACTACAGATTTTGGAAAGATTGGTATGGGCGGGTGTATGCATCACTATCTGTTTTCATTGAAGAATTAAATGGAAATAGGACAACATCATTGTGGTCCACAAGTGAGCTCACGACGTACTGGAAAAAGAAAGTTATTAAGCTACCGCAGACTTCCTACAATTACTCGGTTGTCTTCCTTGGGCACTTTTGGGGCCATGCATACGTTGTAGTAGATGACATGGAATTCATTCGGTGCAACTTATGTAAGTTGATACACTTTCCATTTAAAGGACGGCGTCCTAGGGTAATGTTTACAGTAATAACTTAAAATATGGGTTTTAAAATTGATTGAAACACTGGAAAAATTAAAGGTATTTGCCGGATTTATACTAGAGACAAATTATCCGATGCCGGATCTATACTAGGAGACCATAAATCCATCTGAGACGATTTATCCGTCTCGGGCAGACGAATTACCCGTCTCAGTCGGATTACTCATCTCAAGTATAGATTTGGCTTCTGATACATCTTGGGGGAGCAAGAATGGCAGTGGTGAGAGCGCTTGCTTGAATATTCAATCCCGGCCTGCTGCCCTACGTGGGTTGAGTTTTTTGTTGTTGGTTCCCGTCCTGCCCGGAGAGCTTTGTCTGAGTACTCCGGTTTTGACGTTCTTCTACTTAAAAAACCAACATTTCCGAATTCCATTTCGACCTTGGTAGAATTAGTCCCACATTGAAACCAGCTGGGGCTGATGTGATTTTCTTTCTATATAATGTAACTCAATTTGATTTACATGGTAAAAAACCTTCCGGTAGACTTTCCATTGTCAATCAAGTTGCCTATACGGATTGTCGTGACACACATTTTATTTTGCATGGTATTTTTACCAAATTAGTTCTAACAAGAGGTTAAATAAAGGAGGAAATATTTACTGCCATTTTAAACTAATTCACACGTAATCTCTACTGTGCATGGATTTTTGGTGTTCTGTTTATAGCCCACGTCTTCACCCATCGTGTAACGGAGAGCGTCTTCAGCGGTAACGTTGAGCAGGGAATGAGCTACACTTCCACTCAAACCGAAAACCACCTTCTCAGAATAGAACGTTGTAAAATTACGGACAATGGCGGTACGTCATCAGGAGCGATTCATCTCAATGCTGCAAACCAAGCGTTTGAACTATTTAACAATTACCTGGCCGAGAACAGAAATGGCAGCATATATTCCAGAGTACATTATGAAGAGTCACAATCCAATATGCTAAAGAACCACATTCATGGCAACACATTTGATTCCAACAGAGGAGTATCTTTGTTCCTGGTAGGAGTAACTGGACCTTATTTCAACGTTAAAGTAACAAATAACTATTTCTCTCGTAATTTTGCTAAGGATCCCGATGGCAAAGTAAACAGTGTTTGCAGAATAACCAATTTACGAGCTCATGTTCAAGGAAATTGCTTCTACAATAATATTGGACAATATGCTTTTGAGTACAACTATCTTCAAGAAAATGCTACAGTTCTGCGTTTTCTAAACAACACTTTGTACAAGAACAGTGCTTTGGGTCTCAATGTCAATTATGGAGTAACGATTCTTTGCAACGGAGCAGCAGAAATGCACGGAAACGTGTTTCAAAATCCCGGCAACCGCTACCAAATTGGTACGACATTGCAGGGAAAACAAGTTGTTGTTAATGCGACTTTAAATTGGTGGGGAGAGAGCGTGGCTAATTTGATCGGCTCCCTCATCATGGATGAGACTAAAGACTACCGACTGTCATTAACAGTAATATTCAAGCCGTTTGTTCAGTTGCCACCGCAGAGAGTTATTTCTGGTAAGCTTTGTTTTTTTATTTGGGTCTTTAGTCAACATATCCATTGGGCATGTTAGAGCGATTTTAAATTGCATGCCGCAAATCCAGAACTACAGTTTCCTTATATACATGTACCGACCAGTCACAGAGGACATTGATAATCAAGCAAGCCAATCAAAGCTCTAAGCAAAGTTGTAGCTGACTCGTGGGAAAAAGTATGAGAGCCAATTGACGATTGGGTTTGGTTTTAGTTCTCTGATTGAATGAAAAAACAAGTTGTGCGAACTTTTGAATCATTAACTATAGACGTGATTATGCAAAACCAAAGCTTTGAAATTCACGAGAAAACCACTCTGAACATGATAAGTTTCGATATAGCGCTAACGTCACCCTACAAAAACTGGCAACGATTTTGAACTAGATAAATTCAAGCTGACCATTTGATGTTGAACTTTAATTATCATCAATGAGATGGAAGACCCAAGCTGAATAACATTGTACGATAGAAAAGTATCAGCTTACGTTATTTCTGGGTCTTTTTACATCAATACGACCAAAATACAACACAACGAAACGAAGTAAAACGTAACAAAGATCAAAGAAAATTAAGAAGGGAGACAACCAAACAAAAAACCCGTTTTCTTTGGTCCTGTTTTTTGTTTGTTTGTTTGTTTTTTTCAGTTTCCTGCCCACCGGAATGGATAAAGGACAGCGAACTATGTTTTTTGTACAAAGGAGGTTCCTTCCGTTTTGTAGAAGCTAAGACATATTGTCAGGTAAATACGTCGAGACGCATAAATTAAACCAAAATAAGAAGAATGATCAATCAGATCTTGAGCTTGAGATTTCTATGTGGTGAAAACTTATCAGGCCGAAGGCCGAATCACCTATCACTTCATAGTAATCAAGATGGGTTAAGTCTAATTGTTTTAATTGAATTATGAAGGTTTGAAGGAACAACCTTCACCGATCATATTTAAAAGCTACTCCAACAATATTCCCAAACTTTTGCACTTTACTGGACAGGGATTGAATTCGTGTACCAAATTAAAAGCAGCTCCTAAAATAGTTACTAAAGGTACGTGATAAATAACATCATTGTCATGATGGGGGGAAGTTTTTAATAAGCTGCCCCTTCAAAGGTTGTCTCTTTTTGCAACAGATTAAACGACGAAACTAACTGGAACTGGCTCACATGCTCCCATTTTACCGTACGCTAAGTGAAGGTTTAGTTCATAATATACAAATCTTGTTATGAATCTTTTCAGAGCTACGGTGGAAATATAATCGCCATGTTTTCGGACGGAGACAAAAGGCTCGTGAAAGATTTGAGACGAGAAGAATCAATGATTTCTTCGGCTGTACCACCTTCCCTGTGGACTATCAAAAGGGATTTTATAACAGAGGTTAGAAAAGTGTTGGAAATAGCTGATTAATTGAGATTTGTTATTACTATCTGTTCTTAATGATTGGTGGCGTTGGAAAGCTCACATTAGCTTTTAGGATCTTTATTCATGGTTTATGCTTTGAAGTCGCAAAACACTTACGGACAGCACATTTTGGAAGGTTGATCATCTGGGCCGAGTTGCTCGAGAACGGACTAACGCTAACCCAGTATTAAAAGTTAAAAGAAGAATTAATTTTCCTTGTAAAAAATTGTTTTTCACTGCTTGTTTGTTGGCAAGCTAAATAAACTGCAAAGCCGTCAACGAAGACCCTGCTTGATTGAGCGTTGGATCTCACAGAAGATCTAACCAGTCCAACTTGAAAAGTAGTAGTCTTTGACTTACAGTAGTCTTTGACTTCTCATAGTTTTATTTATTTACTTTTTTTGGGGGGGGGGGTAGTTTGAGATTATTCAAACTGAAAACTGAGGGACACTCAATATAAGCAGAAAACCTAACCGAAAAGTTACAAAACTGGAATCAAAATTCGAGCTAATCCTGGGTTAGCTTAAGCAGGCTTTGAACAACTCGGCCTCACCCAGATTAAGCTAGCCCATGTCAGTTTCTGACAGTTTCTAACCCTTGTTAGTTTTCTTAGTTGAGATTAAGCTAACCCATGTACGTCAGCTTCCTACAAAAGGCAAATATAAGTGTTCCCCAGTCTATCTAGGGCTATTTCATTTCACATAATTTACTTTGTACCACATTCACAGGGAATAATGAAGGGGATAATGGAGGGTAACAGAGATAATCCCACGAAAAGGTCTTCAGTATTCCTAACGCAATCCTCCCCAAGGTATTTTCAGATCACTCCTGGTTTTGGAAATCACAAGACGGTCTGGAAATAGCCAATCTTATGGCGTTAATTTTGCTCACGTGGACAACCTAAGGGGCTTTACACGAATTTTTACCCTCTTCTAAAATATCCACCCTTCTAGTAGTTAAAACAAACGGATTTTTTCTGTGTTCTCATTTTATGTAATTCAAGTTAATGAGAAATTCCAAAAAAAGAAAAAAGAAATTAAACACCTAAATTAATATCGTTGATCCAAGGCTGTGGTCTAAGAAATTTACGGTGAGCTCAAAGGTTCCTAACCATGGAATCCTGGGTGTCAAGCACTTAAGCTTTTATGAGAAATGGAAGTTCTTCCACTCATCCAATTCAAAGGCAAAAGTTAACCGCCTGTGGCACCCGGGCACTTCTAGAGCGCAGCCCTGATCGTAATCTACGTACAAGCCCAGCTACTAAACTGTTTATTAAATTTTTATCGCAGTCCAATAAAGACAATGGAGTGTGCTCCGTTTTTGACAGCCATGGAAATATTACAGAATCTCAATGCGATGATCTTCATCCATTTGTTTGTGTCAGAAGGCCAGGTAAAATATTCTTAGGTCATTTGTAAGTCGAGTAGTCTGTTGAACCTGTTATCTTCCTCATGCTGTTATTGTATAAAGAATGGCAACTTTATTTTGGGGTACATGAAGTTTAGATTAAAATAAGTTAAAACTAGTTTGTTAGTTTAGGAGGCGCGGTGGCCTCACGATCGAGCAGTCCGGGTTGGAGCCCTGCTCGGAGACATGTGTTTTGCTCTTGGGCAAGACACTTTACTAAGTACCTCTCTCCACCCAGGTGTATAAATGGATACCGGCGACCTCATTGCTGGGGGTAACCCTGCGATGTTCTAGCGTTCTCTCGTAATCGCTTCATGCTACTGAAAAAGCAGGATAAGCTTCGGCCTGATGGGTCACTTACTACCTATTAGGAAAAGTTATGCTACATTAGTAATCCGTGAAGAGAGTTATACATGAGGCAAAAAATGGTAAAGCTCGGTCGGACACATTTATGGTATTTTCTATTACCTTCTAATGATGTCAACGTCATCGAGACGCCGGACAACTCGAGTTTTATTATCTCTATCGAAAGAGCACTGGAAAATAATCCTTTGGCAAGTTCAATGATTGTTTACTTCTTTGTCTGTAAAAAACGGTTGGGATGACCGGTGTGTAAATGTTTGTTTTTGCTATATATATATATATATATATATATATATATATATGTCTGAATTTATGAAAACCGTGTTAAAGACTTTGCACCAAAATAGCAGGCATGTTTTTGAAAAAACGGTTAGAAAATGTACATAAATATGGCCATGTCGCACCGAGAGTGCTATCTAAAATTTCACTTTGTCAGATATGCCTTGTACATTTGAGCGAGGTAGTTGTGGATGGAGACAATATCCTGGAAATTATTTTAGAAGCGTCAGCCTGACATTCCAATGGAGATGGCATGACGACTATGATAAGCCTACCGCTATTCCTGACCATACTTTTTCGTACGATGGTAATACAGGTAAGTCGTGTATGATACTGTAAATGTTATTTCATCCGATCTGTAAGGCTAATCGCACATGCAAGCTTGTAAATCATGAAGAACGCTTGTCCTGAGAATCACCTGCAGTAAAAGGCCGCAGTTTTAGATGTTTGTGCTGAGTACAATATTACAATACAATACAATGTAATGCAATGCAATGCAATGCAATGCAATGCAATGCAATACAATACAACATCATTTTATTGTGTAACACAATTAGCTATATGTGAGGTGGGATATCACTTTGCTTCTGTCCCCGTAGGCGCTTAACCCTGTGCTTGTGTTTATGACTCCAGGAAAAAAATACTATTTTAATCCGACTGAGTTCAGTCCAATAAAAATATCCTAAAAGACCATGAATTTCAAGGAGAAGAATAACATAGTAAGATATAGATGAGATATGTAAGGATATTTGGAAGAAACGAGTTCACCTTCGCGTGTTTAGATTAGAGCTACATATACAATTGTTAAGTAAGAATGCTCGTAAGGAATTCTAAATGTCATACGTTCTTTTTTTTATCTCTTTTGTTTACTGGCATTTTGTCTTAGGAAATTATATTTGGCTAGCACGCCGCTGGTATTCGGGATATGGCGCCTTTTCCAGCCCACCCATTTTCAAGGAAAGCGACTACTGCTCCTTAGAGTTCTACTACAGATTTTTGAAAGATTGGTATGGACGGGCATATGCATCACTCTCAGTTTTTATTGAAGAATTAAATGGAAATAGGACAGCATCATTGTGGTCCACAAGTGAGCTCACGACGTACTGGAAAAAGAAAGTGATTAAGCTGCCGCAGACTTCCTACAATTACTCGGTTGTCTTCCTTGGGTACTTCCAGGGCAATGCAATCGTTCTAGTAGATGACATGGAGTTCATACGGTGCAACTTATGTAAGTTGATACACTTTCCATTTGAGGGACGGGGTCCTAGGGTAATGTTTACAGTAATAACTTAAAAAATGGGTTTTAAAATTGATTGAAACACTGGAAATTCTTAAGGTATTGGCCGGATTTATACTACAGACGAATTATCCGATCGGATCTATACTAGGAGACCATTTATCCATCTGAGTCGATTTTTCCGTCTCGGGTAGACGAATTACCCCTCTCAGTCAGATGACTCGTCCCAAGTATAGATTCGGCCTCTGATACATCTTGGGTGAGCAGGAATGGCCGTGGTGAGAGTGCTTGCTTCAAGATTCAATCCCGGCCTGCTGCCCTAAGTGGGCTGAGTTTTTTGTTGTTGGTTCCCGCCCAGCCCGGAGAGCTTTCTCTGAGTACTCCGGTTTTGACATTTTCCCCCTAAAGAAACAACATTTCCCAATTCCATATCGACCTGGGTAGAATTAGTCCCACATTGAAACCAGCTGGGGCTGATGTGATTTTCTCTGTATATAACGTAACTCAATTTGATTTACACTGTAAAACAACCTTCCGGTAGACCTTGCATTGTCAATTAAGTCGCCTATACGGATTATCGTGACGCGCATTTTATCTTCCATGGTATTTTTACCAAATTAGTTCTAACAAGAGGTTAAATAAAGTAGGAGATATTTATTGCCATATTTAACTAATTCACGCGTAATCTCTTCTGTGCATGGAGTTTTGGTGTTCTGTTTGTAGCCCACGTCTTCACCCATCGTATAACGGAGAGCATCTTCAGCGGTAACTTTGAGCAGGGAATAAGCTACACTTCTACTCAAACCAAAAACCACCTTCTCAGAATAGAACGTAGTAGAATTACGAACAATGACGGTACGTCATCAGGAGCGATTCATCTCAACGCTGCAAACCAAGCATTTGAACTTTTTAACAATTACCTGGCTGAGAACAGAAATGGAAGCATATATTCAAGGGTACAATATGAAGAGTCAGAATCCAATATGCCAAAGAACCACATTCATGGTAATACATTTGATTCCAACAGAGGAGGATCTTTGTTCATGGAAGGAGTAACTGGACTTTATTTAGACGTTAAAGTAACAAATAATTATTTCTCTCGTAATTTTGCTGAGGATCCCGATGGTAAAGTAAACAGTGTTTGTAGAATAGCCAATTTACGAGCTCATGTTCAAGGAAATTTCTTCTACAACAATGTAGGGCAATATGCTTTTGAGTACAGCTATGCTCTAAGAAATGCAACAGTCCTGCACTTTCTAAACAACACTTTGTACAAGAACAGTGCTTTGGGTCTCAAAGTCAATTATGGAGTGACGATCCTTTGCAACGGAGCTGCAGAAATCCACGGAAACGTACTGGAAAATCCTGGCAACCGCTATCAAATAAGTACGACATTGCAGGGAATTCAAGTTATTGCTAATGCGACTTCAAATTGGTGGGGAGAGAGCGTGGCCAATTTGATCGCCTCTCTCATCATGGATAAGAGTAAAGACTACCGACTGTCGTTAACAGTAATGTTCAAGCCGTTTGTTCAGTCTCCACCGCAGAGAGTAATTTCAGGTAAGCTTTGTTTTTTATTTGGTTTTTAAGTCAAGCGTATTCATTGGGCATGTATGAGCGATTTTAAATTGGATGTCGTAAAACCCAAAACTACAGTTGCGACATGCACTGACCAATCACAGGGGACAATGACAATTAGGCAAACCAATCAAAGGTCTAATCAAAGATGTAGCTCATCATGACGCGTGGGAAAGGTATGTGAGTCGAATGACGATTGGTTTTGGTTTCGCTTCTCTGATTGGATGAGAAAAATGGTGCGAACTTTTAAAACATTAACTATAGGCATGGTTGTACAACATTCAAGAGAAAACCACTCTAAACATTATAGGTTACGATATAGCTTTGCCGTCACCCTGCAAAAATTGGCAACCATCTGGAGCTTGATAATTTCTAGTTGAATCAGAGTGATAGAAAACTGAATCCACAGGCTCCCTTGACCATTTTTATGTTGAAATTTGTTATCAATAATATGAAAGACGTAAGCTGAATAACATCGAACCATTGATAAGGGAAGTGCCTCAATGTATTAGCTTACATTAATTTCTGGGTCTTTAACACCAATACAACCAAAACACAACACAATGAAACAAAGTAAAACGTCACGAAGATCAAAAGAAAATTAAGAGGGGAAACACCCAAACAAAAACCCCGCTTTCTTTGGTCTTTTTTACCAGTTTCTTGCCCACCGGAGTGGATAAAGGAGAACGAGCTGTGTTTTTTGTACAAAGGAGGTGCCTTCCGTTTTGTAGAAGCTAAGACATATTGTCAGGTAAGTACGTCGAGTGGCATAAATTAAATCAACTTAAAAAGAATGAAGAAAAAGAAGGTACTTTCTTGATAATCAATGATGATCAATGATCAATGAGATCAATGATGAATAATTAATGATCAATAATCAATGATAAACGATCAACGATCAACGATCAACGATCAACGATCAACGATCAACGATCAGTGAGATCATGAGCTTGAGATTTGTATAAGGTAGTTACTTATGAGGCTGAAGGCCGAATTTCCTATTACTTCATAGAAATCAAGATGGGATAAGTCTAATTGGTTTAACAGAATTATTAAGGGTTAAAGGAATAACCGTAAAAGGTTGTTCAGCGACCATGTTCAAAATAACGCCACGCCAATGATGTTCCCAAACTTTTGCACTTTATTGGAGAGGAATTGAATTCGTGTACCAAATTAAAATCAGATGTAGAAAAGGTACAAAAGGTACATGGTTATTATCGTCATTATTCATGGGGCGTGCAACTTGTTAAGAAGTTGCCCCTTCAAAGATGGTCTCTTTATGCAACAGATTAAGCTACCTAAGTGACTGGAACTTGCTCACATGCCATCATCTTACCATACGCTTAGTGAAGTTTCAGTTCATGGTATACAAATCTTGTTATGAATCCTTTGCAGAGCTACGGTGGAAATATAATCGCCATGTTTTCGGACGAAGACAAAAGGCTCGTGAAAGATTTGAGACGAGAAGAATTAATGATTTCTTCGGCTGTACCACCTTCCCTGTGGACTATAAAAAGGGATTTCATAA